TATCCACGGCAGTGTCGCTGCGCTTGGCTTAGCGCCGAGACACTACCAGTGTCTCCAGATATCTCGTCGGTGATATTATTCAGTTCGAAAATAGCGGAAAAAGAGAATATTATGCGTAGAGAAACTATACACAAAAATTATAATTATAAAAGAATAAAAAACAATTACTTACTTTTTAATTGTACACTGTCGTTTGTACACTCAATCCAATCTGACTCCTATATTTATCCGCGCTAAACACCGTCATAGATTCTTCGAGAATCAATTTTGCCAACTATACATTATATTCTCTATGCACGTTTATGCGACGTGCAAAAAACGTTACAATTTTCTGCGATTTTGCCACCAAAATAGCATGTCTATGCGGGTGGCACCCAGTTGGACACGGCTCAATTGGACACGAGCCACTCACAGCGCTTGAGACTACAAAGCTCTTAAGCACCGGTCGATGTGATTGGTGGTGTCCAATCGAGCCGTGATCAATCGGGATCACCCCTGTCATGCACGTCATTGCGATGTACAAGAGACGATACGTATTTTCTGCGACTTTGCGACCAAAATAGCATGTTTCTGTTACGTATAGTGCAGACAGGGTTCTAAGAGCCGAAAAAGATCTTTCCGCAGTGTAGGATATTGCCGGGATTGTAAGCAGAAGTTTTATTATTTTTGTGTATTCTGATATAATTTCTCTCACGGCTACATCTTTTTTTTTTTTTAAATAATGATATCATTTAAATTACAAATCTCTATGTGTGCCCATAGGTCTGTTTTCTGTGGCTGAATCAGTGTACACTTTTGGAACTTGAAGTGAAATAGGTATATATGTTTGATATTTGTCGAAAGCGAGAAAGAGAGTTCTAGTACAGTCTAGTGCAGGAATAGAAAACAGACATGTATGCGGGGTGATCCCGATTGATCACGGCTCGATTGGACACCACCAATCACAGCGACCGGTGCTTAGGAGCTTTGTAGTCTCAAGCGCTGTGAGTGGCTCGTGTCCAATTGAGCCGTGTCCAACTGGGTGCCACCCATGTTACCCTCCGATTATTAGGAGACAAAATAACCAATTTTTTTTCAAAAAATCATTGTGGCTCTAATTTTTAAGATTAAGACCCAGTTTCACAACTCATGGTTAACTCTTAACCGAGGTTCAATTTATCATCTTTTTCCAATTATTTATCATCTTTTTCCAATTCTGGAATTGAAAAGAGATAATGAATAAGTTGAACCCATAGACATATAAGATAGACCTAGCATCTATAGTACATGTTGGGGTTTGGCAGAACGGTGCGAAAGGCAAGATATCGGGGCAATCTGTCCTTCTCTGCGCGTGCATCTTGACATTCTTGACAAAATCAAAATGGCTGACTACGTTAGGATCGTCTGGATTCTTTGCCCATTGTGTTACTTTGCGTCACCCAGTATTCTGATGGGCAAGGAAAAAATATTCTGTTACGCTTAAATGAAGCATATGTTGTACGTATTGTATGCATATACATAAGTAGAGGTTAAAATGTTTTATTTACGTCTGAAAGAATATTTTTTCCTGTTTCAAATTTCTTTTGATACCCACATGCGTTGCACGTCTCCATATTCAATTTTTTTTAAAAAGGAAACAATACTAACAGTTATTAATAATAGGTGCAAAGAATACAGACAATTCTAACGTAGGCAGCCATTTTGATTTTGTTAAGATTGTCAAGATGCGCGCGCAGAGAAGGACAGGTTGCCCCGATATTTTGCCTCTCGCACCGTTCTGCCAAACCCAGCATATACTATAGAAAAGTATACGGATGCTGGGTCTATCTTATATGTCTGTGGTTGAACCTCGGTTAAGAGTTAACTGTCAGTTGTGTAATTGGGCCTAAGAGTTCCGTCTGGCACTAATTTGTCAAGAATGAATTAAATTTGCTGTTAAAAAATTCTCGAATTTTTTGCTGCCGAAAAAGTTTGTTTAAAACCATTAGAAAGTTGAAGAACGCGAGCGAGACAGTGCGCCGGGCGGAGTGAGGGACGCCGGCGCGTAGTCGAGTGAGGAAGATCGGGCCGCTCGGCGATTCGCGCGTATCTGATTTTATGGGTTAAAATTTGCTAAATTTACATTTTCTTAGCAATAAATTGACGTAGAAACATGATTTTTTTATCTGGGGTAGCTTAACAAGATATAAACAAATAGCTTAACCAAATAATTGTAACCATGAAGTTTTTAGTTTTTTGTTTCTTGAATTTTTACTTTTTCGGTTTATTACTAAAAAATCACGTTTGAGTATGGAGTGTATGTCTGATTAACAAATTGAAGTCACCATTACCTATGTTTCTTTATTTAATATGTTGTAAAAAGTGTCCAACTGGACAATTAAATGTACGGAATCATCAGTACAAAATTATTTTTGTGAATTTAATTGCAGATGCAAAACGACATATGTAAACAAGTAATTAATAAGTAATTTGCCAAATGTTAGCGTAAGGGCCTGCGTACAATAGAGGAACAAGAATTATGAATAAAGAATAAACGATTTCAACCAATCAGAAACCGTGTATTCCAATGTATTCGATTTCCTGTAGGTCAAAATCGTTCATTCTTTATTCCAAATTCCTTATTCCTTCTATTGTGCGCAGGGCCTAACACTGTTGAAGATATAACATTAATAGCGTTTTCGGCTCGATCGGGTTTGCACCAACCTGGGTTGGATTAATCTTTCCTATTGGTTGATGTCACACGCTCTACCAATAGGAGAGCGCAAAACGCCATTAATCCAACCCAGGTTGGTGCAAACCCGGTCGGGCCGAAAACGCTATAACTTTCACAAATGTAAAAGTAAATTAATGTTGCATAAAAAATATATTTTGCAACTATCTTCAACAGTTACGCTAACATTTGGCAAATTACTTATTAATTATATGTTTACATATGTCATATTTGTATCTGCAATTAAATTCGGAGCGACCCCGAGCAGCTCCCGAGACAAAATGAACAATGCTTGTGTTCCATGTAATATTAGGAGATCAAAATAGGCGGAACAGAATGCACGGAAAGGCGGAAAATTTAGTAAAGTTTAGTTAATTTCGGCTAAAATCCATAGTCCGGTCTTAATCTCAAGGATTTCAAGCAATGTCTCAAGATGCTAATACGGCTCTTTGATTGGTTCAAGCACTAGCTAGAGTCCTAAGGTTTGTTCGCGTCGCACGCTCCAATATGCTCCTTTTCATTCCAACGCGCTCCAATACGTTCGCTTCACCGGAACCAATATGGCGACTAGATGTTTGCGTCGCGTTAGAGCATACTCCATGGATCAATTAAAAGCACGCTCCATTTGCCTCACCTCAGAAGGTAGTGCGGTTGGGGTATGTTATGCACGCATGCGTAATGATTGAGAATGTGTAGTGTTGAGAGTATTTATGGTTCTATGATGTAACTTTAACGAGAATGAAGCAAGAAGAGCAACGCTTTTTTTCTTACGTTTGGTGAAAAACGCAGCTTAATTTCAAAATCGGTGAGGAAGACAAAATTCTTGAACTATAATAATACTGATTCTACAATGAGTCAGTAGTCGGAAATCTTAAGCCTTAACCAGTTTTAACCTAAACAGATGATCATGATTTTTTGCACTAGTTAATTGTACAGCGAGTCGTTTAGCTCGATTAATGGTAAGGAATAAAGTCGATTTTAGTCAGTCTTAAGAAAATCGGTAGTCGTCGTACAAGTTGGCTGTTTGCCAATTCCATCGATTCACTAATAAGACTTAGGACTATCGACTACCTCATTGTAGAACCAGCTTTACCCTCATAGTACTTTAGTTAAATTTTTATTATGTAATTAAATAATTGTATAAGAATAATAATTATTATTAATATAATATAATAATAATTGTATAATAATAATGAATGCTGTACTATATCAATATTATTGATCTTTTTGTTATAGTATATAATCTGCAGCAAAAGAATCTGATCAGAAAATGGCACATCCAAATGCTAGTTCTTCAACAAGTTCCGCAATTCCAAAGAACAAAAATATATTTGTATTTGCTTTCTGCAAATACAAATTATATAAAATCAAAGCATCGATTACAAAAGATGAATTAAAAATAAAACTAATCTGTAGAGAGAAGCAATGTTTGTTATCATTAGACATTATTTATTAATTATCAAATTGTTTATGTAAATAAACGTCAAAGTAACGTTTTCTAACCCTGTTCGTTAATACTCACTCTCTATTTCGTCGTCTTCCTCAATAAAATCATAAGCAAAAAGTAAAAAATTTTCGAGGAAATTATCATTAATTTCATTAATAATTCCAAAACGGAAATCTCTCAAAAAATTTCTGAAATCCATTTCAGAGGTAATAATGCAAATGGCT